AAAGAAAATGTTTTATGAGCACTTCACGGGTGAAGTTCGAGCCCGAATTTAAGTTATTGCTATACTAGTATACTTATTTAGTTATATACTTATCTAGTTTACTGCCGGCGAAATTAAAAGGTCAATACAATGTTTATTTAAACTTTTTAAATATTGGCGTTGAGAAACTATTAAGTATTGAGATAATTAAAATTAAGTTTAGCCCGTGACTAAAAACCTGTTGCTAACTTCAGTCCATGACTAAAGCGCAATAAAGCCACTACTTGTCAATGTGAATTTAAAAGGTCAAAATTTAATTTTCATGCCAAACTAATATTTTAAATTTAGTAAATTTGAAATATGTGTTTCTTATATTTGTATGTTTTAGTTAAACACAAATTTTTTATTCGCTAAATTAAAAATATCATACGAGAAATTTTTAAATGCATTAAAAATATCATAGGAAATATTTTTTATTTATTTTAATTTTAACTTTCTAAAATAAGCAAATATTTTTAATTGAATGTGATATTTTTAATTCAGACACCTGGTATTCCAAGCTAATTCTGTCGCTAGATGGCGGCACAATCACTGGGATCTACGACGTACATGAGTCCGATGTCGCACTGACCCAGCGTATATTTGTTATATGCCAGCATAGAAAACCCCGAAGGGGTATGCCAGCGTCAAAGATAAAGAAGGTTATCCCAGCGTGTGCCGAACAAGGACAGTCCACGAGGGTCGGTTTTTGTGGCGTTTGGAATAGCACGGGTATCCAAACTCAGACGGAATTAAAAATATCACATTCAATTAAAATTATCTACATTTAAAAAAAAATTAAATGGAATTAAAAATTTATCCTATTATATTTTTAATTTAGCGAATTAAAAATATTTGTTCAACTAAAAAAATAAAAACACAAGAAGATATTTTAAATTAAATATATTAAAAATATTAGTTTGGCATAAAAATTAGATCTAATGTACCTATAAATAAACATGTTTAATCCGCGTATTAAAAATATCATAGCCGGTATTTAAAAATCAGATTTAATTTTTATGCCCAACTGATATTTTCTATTTAGTGAATTAAAAATATCTTTCTTATATTTGTATTTTTTGCTAACACGTTTACTGTCACGTCCACACAATTGGGTAGACACATATGTACTCCTCCCTGGTGCCAAAGTAAAATTATGTAAACTCGTGACTGCCAGAGCTATAACTTAGTTAATATTAATCGTAGAAATATTTTACAAACACATATATGTTTCTTATAAAATTGACAAGTTTTTTGGATTATTAAACCTGTCTACCCAAATGGGTGTACATCACTTCTTTACAAGGTTGTTTACTAGTAGAACAGTAGCGTCCAAAGATAATACACCCCTGGGGGTATTATCTTTGGTAGCGTTCACCCAAATGGCCATACCCGGGTAGACAATAAAATTAAATAACAAATTAAATACAAAATCTGTTTATTAAAATTATTAATATTTTTGACATTATTATTTATTTGGATGTCCATTTAAATTTATAATCTAACCCCACTCTGGTACTTAATATAGGATACTGTATACCCATTTGGGTGGACAATACCACAATCCATAATTGTGGACAATACAAAGACAGAAACCTGCAATTTGAAAGAATGAAAAACTAACAAAATAGCGCTCTGTACGTACAAATAAGTAAACACACCTATGAAAAGGAAACTACTATTTAAATCATATTTTCCGCTACTTTTCAACAAATGGCTTCCATATACGCCATTAAATAAAATAAAATTAAATTAAATATATTTTAATAGGCACATTTTAAAAATGTCTCCTATGATATTTTTAATTTAGCTTATTTGTACAAAAAAAATACAAATATAATAAACACATTTTAAATTCTTTAAATTAAAAAATCAGTTTGACATAAAAATTAAATATCTCCCTTGTCAAAAAAACTCTCAAATTTTGGGTGTTTACACCCAAAATTCAGTGTTTACTCCCAAATTTAAGTGTTTAAACTCAAATTTGAGTATATACACTTAATAATCCAGTGTTAACTCTCAAATTTAAGTGTTTATACTCAACTATTCAGTGTGAACTCTCAAATTTGAGTGTATACACTTAACGATCCAGTGTTAACCCTCAAACTTGGGTGTTAACTCTCAAATATGAGTGTATACACTTAACAATTCAGTATTAACCTTCAAACTTGAGTGTTTATACTCAACTATTCTGGGTGTACTCTGAAACTTAAGTGTTTATACTCAACTATTCAGTGTTCTCTGAAATTTGAGCGTGCACCCTCAACGGTTCAGTCCCACACAGAACACGCTATCCAATGGATATCCAATGGCTATCCCAATGTCCATATAACATCCATGCCTTTTACGATATCCATTGGATATCCAGTGGATATCCATACTGGATGTTCAAAAAAAATAAAAACATTAAAACTATTTTTTTCTTTTTTAAAATAGGATAAATGTATGTAATGATTAATAAATATGATTTAAATCGTTATTAAACCAATTTCAACAAAGTATCTCTAATACGTATCTCTGTACATATCCAATGGATAACTAATGTATGTCTAAAGTACACCTAAAGTACATCTAATGTATATCCACTGGATATCCACTGGATATCCAGTGGATAACTGATATGGATATCTTGTATATATACTTTTATGTATAAATGTGGGATTTTGTAATGGTTTAATTGAGAACTGGCATATGCCAAAAAAACAACTTAACGATAAATTGATTTTTTGCCAAGAGCTACGAAATTTTTAATTTTGAAATGTTCACTTTACCTAGGTAGATATTATTTCTGTTAATAATATGACTATGACAGTCTGCAATACAATAAAAAATTACTTACAAAAGTCCCTTTTGTTTATTATTGTATTTCATAGTAGTACGCACGCGCTGAATTTGAGAATCTTCAGTGTTGCCGGTTATAAGCAAAATAACTAAACGAAATATATTTCCATACTTTATTAAGTTTTAATAAATAAATTAAATAAATTTAAAATAATTACTCACCACATTTATGTTAAATAGGTAAACTAGGTATACTAATTAATTAAGTATTAAAGATTTAATAATATAACCGCCATTTTGATGAGCTTTCTGAAATTATTTAAACGTCTGACAACACTGCTGCCGAACACAGAAGATAAAGAAGCGTCCTTTTTCTACGGTAGCGTCCGTTAAATATGATGCCATGATTGTTAGGTACATGCAAAGGGTTTTCATGTTTATTTGCTTCATTCCACAGATTGTAAAGGTTCATTCGCCATCATTGCTATTTGTTATATGTTTGTCATAAAGTTTATTGCCAAGTTATTGTGTTTTGTGGTTATTTGTTTGAGGTCTCTAGTGGTAAGTGAATATTTTATTAATTTTCTAATCATAGTTATCATTTTAAATTGTATTGGTCTAAAACTAATACAATTTTAAATTAAATAGGTATATTTAAGTGCAATTTATAAACTTTTGGTTAGCATTGAAGGTAAAACATTAAATGTGAATACATGCATGCATTTATATACCGTACCTTTATTTGCAAGCTATACATAGGCTCGAGGGTAACAAATGGGCTGATGGATTGGCCAAATTTTGGGGATCATAAGGAGACAGGTGAAATAGGCCCTAAATGATTAGGCTGATAAAAAGGCAAATGACTGCTGGAGGAGTAATGGCAAGCCAGAGACTTCACTTCTTTAGTTATATGTAGTTTTCTGTTCTTTTTTATGTTTTCATAAAAATAAATATTTAAATTAAAGAATAAGACTTTTATTTTAAAACCCAATGTTATTTATTGAAAAGTAAATATCCATTGATTCACCATATCCAATACAGATGACAACCATATTGCATTAAATACCCTATCCATTGGATATCCATACAATCTCCATATTGAATACAGATTACAACCTTATTGCATACAATACTATATCCACTGGATATCCATTGGATATCCACACTATGTCCAGGAGGGTCGGACATTTATATATCCAATGGATATCCCGGATATCCTATGTATATCCTGGATATCCATAAAATAAATCCATTGGATATCCATTGGATGTAATTGTTCCGTGTGGGGTGTTTACTATATTTTTATTATAATGGGAGAGTTTCTGAGTTAACGTGTGAAAGAAACTATTAAAGTATACTTTTATACTAGATAGTTTCCTTCTTTTACAATCTCCTATTGATTATTTAAAGGTAGGAACTTCTGGTATACTGTAGAGGTAAAACTATTAGTAAAGAGTACAGTGACGTCATAACTCCCTGCGAAAAATGATTGTATCTCTTGCTTTTCTCTTTCTCTTCTAGGCCTTGGTTAATCGTTCTCCCAGTGGAACAAAGGCGTTATACTAGTGGAACGAATTACCAAGGCCCGAAAAAGGGAAAAGCAAGAGATACAATCATTTTTCGCGCAGGCAGTGATGACAATTTGGATGTGGCTTTAATTTTGAGAGTTTAGATATATTTGAGTGTTATACTCAAATTAAGTGTTACACTTAAATTAAGTGTTACACCTAAATAGAGTATAACACCCAAAGTGAGAGTACTCTTAAGTTGAGAGTACCCTCAAATTGAGCGTACGAAATTATACTCAATTAAGTGTTTCTTTGGACACTGAACTTGAGTGTAAAAACTCAAAATTTGGGAGTTTTTTTGACAAGGGCTGGTACATATTGCTACATGATATTAATTTGCAGAATATAAATTCTTATGTAAATTACATAAGAATTTATATTCTTATATATTAATATTACATAATGTTATATTTTTTATCTAATTGAAAATATCACTCCAAACACATAATATTAATTCCTGAATAAAAAATAAAACGGCGTCAAATATGTGGTCCATTCTAGGAAAAACAATTAATATTTTTCTAATATGTGCTTCTAATCACAGAATAAATGAAATCTGTTCTTATCTGTTTAAAATTTAATATTTAGTAAAATTACAAAGAATTAAAAAAGTGAAATTAACAAAAAGTAGGGTTTAATTTTAACTTTTATTAATAAATAATAATAATAAACATAAATATACAATACAATTAAGCTATACATTACATCATTAATATTTATATAAATTATTACCACTGTCCGTGTTATCACTGTTAAACCTAGAAAAAAAATCACATAGCATCAAAATGGAACCGATGAGACTCGGACATCCTTTCTTTTTTATCCTCCTGCCTCTCCTTCCAATACAATACCGCAATAATGACAGTAATCATGCCGCAGACCGCCGTCAAAGCGGCCACCGACATCAAAATCAACTTACTGGGCGTCACGAACAACTGGGCTTTCCACTGCGTGGGCTCAGTGGTGGGCCACGGTATCACAACCATCTGGGAATTCGGAATTATCTGAGTCCAAGCACGGGAATGATTTGATAGTCCAACTGTAAGAGAGTCCACGAAGTTTGGTGTACGCCCTAAACCAAATATTGTGTAGGGGAGATTGAGGCTGAAATGGGCTGACTGGGGGAGCTGGGCTGATACACCATGGCGTAAATTGCCTTCCTGGGTTGTGGTTTTGTAGTAGATACTTGGGCCTGGGAGATTAGTACCATAGGTGCGGCGTTTTTTGCCCACACGTCCCATCATCATGGGGTTTTCCAGGTTGGATAAACCAGTTAGTACCATTACTTTTACGAAGTTTGCATCATAGTCTAAACTGTTTTTGAAAGCTGCTACTTTGTAGTCATCGTTATTTTGCGTTACAAGAATACAATCCAAAATACCATCCTGATAAAAATCGAAGAAAGAAGCCATTGCTGTACCATTCCTAAATGGACTTAGGGCATTCCATCTTATAGTATAAGACCTCTTAAACTTATTACATCCACTAACACACGCAGTATTCTCTAGTAAAAACGATTGCGGGTGTTTTCTGTCGTTAAAATACAAAGTAGCTAACAAATCTGGATAACCATCCATGTTAAAATCCCCACTGTGCAATGTAATTACATTCGTATATTTACTATCTTTATTATGACAAAAACTCCATGTATTCCCATTATCATCCTTGAAATTCACCTGCATTGTATGCCATTCTTCCCCAGAATAAACCATCAGAGCACTATTCTTGCATTCCTCATCCACACACACAGGCGTAACCAAATCCATCTCTCCTTTCAATTCCACATCGATGAACAACGATTGACCCACTGTATGCACATCTTTGGGGTGCGGTATGGTTTTGTTAAATGTAAACTTTTCCTGAGCGTTTTCATGTCCCAACCATACTTCAAAGTTCTTTGGTGTCGTTATGAACAAGTCGGATGTGTAATCGTCGTTTAAATCTAAAAAAGATATTATTAGAGTTTAGGTAGTATCTCCATTAGAAGAGTTTAATAAATAAATAAAACTAGGCCGTGACAACAAATTTAGCAGTGTCTTCCAGAGACAAGTGTGAATGTAGTAAAAAATAAAACTTTGTATTTTATTTAACAAATTAATACCTTATTACAAATTTTAAAGTATTATTTAAAACCAACAACAACATAAAAAGTAGTAGTAGTAGTAGTAGTACGGTTGGGTAGGCTCGAAGCCTGACAATTAGACTCCATGGTCCTTTTTATCTGCCCCTGCATAAAAAGTAAATAAGTAAGAATATAAATTGTTAATTTGTTTTTATAATGGCAAACTTATTCATATTTTTGTGTTTCTATACCTAGTTGGCAGCACAAAATATGAATTGACAATTTTAAAGTGCTAAAATAGTATATTACACTACAAGGGCAGAAAGTGTGAGATTCCTGCACTGCGCGCCATGATGTCCGAGGCGAAGACGAGGGCATCATGGCGCGCAGTTCAGGACTCTCACACTTTCTGCCCGTGTAGTGTATACTATTTTTCTTACTACCTCGGCCGAAAATACAACCCGGCCGAAAATACGGGAAAAAATTAAATGTGTATTTATGTACCTATCTCCATTTGAAGAGCTTGATAAATAAATAACAGTAGGCCGTGAATTCAGCGGTGCCAATACAGTAAAAATAAAAGGTTGTATTTTAATTAACAAATTACTACTTTATAACAAATAAAAGTACCATTAAACACTTAAAACAACATAAAAAGTAAAAAAGTTAAAACATAAATTGTTTATTTGTTGTTTTAATTGCAAAATTATGGTTTAAAACTGTCATATTTTTGTGTTTCTCATGTTGGCAGTACGAAATTTGAATGTTAAGCACACGACTAAAAAATTTTTACTCCCGCTATTAGAGTGTGCGCGTATAGCTTGACCAATGCAAGAAACGTAAACTTTCTGCCGTGGAATCGGGGACGAAACAAGTATTTTGAGTCGAGGTAGTAAGAAAAATAGTTTTTTTTTAGATTTCCATAAAAATACTGTAATAATCATTTTTTAATCCATTGATCTTCTTTAGTTGCACGAATTTTTAAAAGAACCTGGATAATACCACTTGTGCAGAAGTGTTATTTCCCACAGATTTCCTATTATTACAAAAATTACTTTCCAAAAGCAAGAACCAAGGACCATGTTGATAGGTTAAAATTTCATTATTTAGTTTATTTTTTATGAAAATCTCACAATCAAGCTCGTGAAAAAAATCTGAAATTATTTGTGAATGTGTCTGATGCCCTAAAAAATCATATATAAAATTTTGAAGACATTCTATACGCTAAAGAAGCATCGGGTTTTCACAACGCGCGCGCCATCTGGTGGTGTTCGATAGCATTGTGTAAATTCAAGAATTGTCAACAATACATTTAATGCACAAAATTTTTATATAAATATTTTTAAATAAATAAGAAGTTTTTTCACAAAAGAGAGGAAGGCAGAAGTCGGTTTCATATAGATGCGAAATGCGAAATAGGAATATTCGCATTTCGCAACTCCTATTTCATATGGATGCGAACTATTTTAGGGACATTGTTTTCTCACTAGGCAATATAATATAATAATTGTCCATGCTATTTTGGGTACTAAAATAGTAAAATTACTATAAAGTGACTATAAAGGTAAAATAAGAAACATTAATGTAGCTCAAAAAACTCTTTGTCAATTATAAAATAACAAAAAAAACATCAAACACTTATTTAAACATCTCGAATAAAACTCAACAAAACAAACACTACGATATAAACGAAATAAACATAAATGTGCATGCGAAACGCATGCGCATTACGCCAAATGAGTGCGATTTTCACAAAATATTGGATGAATCTCAAGATTCCCGCCCGCCCCCTAGATTCAAATCTTGCGAATTCGCAGGATCTGTTAAAACGTCTAAACGCTTTTCCCACTAAATCAAATGGACCAATGGTAGCATTTTTCACATTTTGCATCTATAGGAAACGGGCTTTAGTAGACACATTTTGTTTAATAGCACAGCTAAATCGCGCACGTTATTTGTGTTTTGCGTTGCAAATAAAAACTAAAAAACTTTGGTTTAGTAGACGAATTTCGAATCATTACGTTAGTGTGTGATCATGGTGAATTGTAAATAAAATTCAAGAACTCAATCGTTGCATTTTCATGTTTTGACAAAGGATCCAATACAGTACATATATGCAGGATTAGCTAATGATATCTTTACCTAATATAATTTATATTTAAGTTTTGACATTTTTTAGAAATCTAACAAAAAATTGTTGTACAAAAATAACCTTAAAATCAAATATTTTTATATTTGAGTCCTGACAACAGAATATTAATATTATATATGAGTACCTTAGATGCAAAACTCGGTTTTTGCAAATTAAAAAATAAAATAAAATTGACTTTAAATTCTGTTTAGTGTTCGTCCTAGATAAATGGCGTTTATAAAACTTGATACATAATAATATATATAATATAATATTATTATGTATCAAGTTTTATGAACGCCATTTATCTAGGACGAACACTAAACAGAATTTAAAGTCAATTTTATTTTATTTTTTAATTTGCAAAAACCGAGTTTTGCATCTAAGGTACTCATATAATTATATATAATACCGGTTTTTGGTATTTTACTGTTAAGTGGAGACTTTCTTAATCAACGCTTTTAATAATGCTAAATGCTGTTTGAATTTATACGACTTATTTGTTTTATGATTTTTACTGAATTAAAATGTTTACAATTTTCACGTAATTCATTACTAAAATGGGTATTTATTGTATCTAATAGGTACAATTTATATTTACAGGGACTATATGCAATTTCTTTCTTCATTAGGATTCCCACTGTTTATTGTGAAACCTGTAAAAACTCAACCCAGGATTTCCTTTTGAAAAACACCCAACAACACAAAAAATCGTGCCACGGTTTTTGCGATATTTTTAACATTTTCCGAATTTATTCTCAAAAACACTCGTTTGTAACATATATGCGTATACGCATTTGACAGCTGATTATTAAAAGTTGTAGTTTTGTTACGATGATAACGGCCAAGTGGTGGCTCTACTAGCGATGCTTCTTTAGCGTATATTTTGACGTGAAATAATATATTATAATATGTGTCAATTAAAAATTTTGTTCTTTTGTGTTAAATTATATGTGTATACACCACTTATAAAACCTTAACAATAAATTTTGTTCATCTATTAATTCACTAACGTGCCCGTGAAAAATAAATTGCCCTCTAGCGTGAACATAGTCACTTTGTTTAAATTTTTGTAAAAATTAGAAGATAAAAATTTGTATATAGGTAGATGAAAACATGAAATATGGGTAGTTATTGTATGCATACGGATATGGATATTATTTAAGATAGTTTAGAAGTTGGAGTGAAAATAAAAATAAAATGTATAAAAAGTTTTTATACATTTTATTTTTATTTTCAAAACGTAATCCTGTTATTTGGCCCGTGGGCTGTTGGATACAAATAAATAAATATTATATATTATTGCAAATTTACTGATTTAGATCATTAAGAAGGTAACAAACCATATGTTTAATTGGGAAAATGTATAAAACCCAACACTATAAAAATTGGCCAAATTCCATTTAATTTTTAGAAAATGTCTCACAAAGGGATAGAAGGGACACAGCACAAAAAAATAACTAATTTTAAATTTCAAGTTATAATCCGAAATTTTAGGGTAAAATTTCGACTTGAATTGAAATTTTAAAATTTTGAGTTATTTAAAAAAAAATTTAAAATTTTCGTTCTCTCTATTTTTATTTACAGTACCTACCATAAGCATTTTCATTTTCATAGTTTTTTGTCTCAACCAGGCAAACAACCCTATTTGAATCACTGAACGTGGGACCCAGGCCAAATTGCCCCCCCACTGTGTGCCCCTGATAAATTAAATGATTGTTTATTTAAATTGATTGTTACATGTTACAAGATAATTTTAAATGCAATTTTAAAATTTTGAAAACAAGTCAAAATTTTACCTTAAAATTTCAACTTGGAATTTAAAAAAAAAAAATTGTGCTGTGTACCTTCTATGCCTGTCTAGTAGAACTAGAAAAAAAAATTGATCAAAATAAGATTTAAATGGGTCAAGTTTGATGTTGGAACATTGTTACATGGTATATTATATATTTTTGCTCTATAATAGAGTCTATACACACCTAAAAATGCATGTGAATGTGGCCTACTCAGTTCATTCTGGTTATTAGACCTCATTCTGATCTTCTCTGGCTCACTTCGATTTGTATTAAAAATCCAAAAATACCTTTCAAACTTCTCATTCTGTCCAAACAAATCGATTATCATATCCTGGTTATAATCCATAGCCAATGGCTGACCAAGCATCTCGATCACAGGTGTATTTTCATCGGTGCAGTTCAAATGATTACCTCCACCCCACAGGATAAATACGTTTGTGGGGGGAGTTTTTCCATCGCCTCTTCTTTTTACTGTTGTCACTAGGACATCCATAAAAGCATCACCATCAAAATCCCCAGGGACAACACTAGAAATAATCGAGTTCGTAAAGGTGCACTTTAATTTTTCAGTGCTAGATCTCAATAAGGGTTCTTCTTCGTGCCCCAGTAAAATCTCCACTGATTTTCCATTATCCAAAAGCACGAAAACGTCAGTTAATTCGTCAGAATTAAAATCGCCAAAGGCAGCTGGCATTCCATCTGTATTACTTCCGAAAACCAAACTTGTTATATCACTACAGTTAACTAAATTTAAAGCTAAAATAAAACTTAACACAACAGCAAAATGTAGTCGACTGTTTTCCATTTTAACGAAGATATTCACATTATTTTATGTAGCTTTGTTGTTTTCCTGCTGGATAAATGTCAAAATTTATGATTCGATATTGCGACGTTGCCAATGCCAATGAGAATCGCAAGAAAACAACATTTTGTGGTTTGTGATAGCCACAGAAATATGATAGAATAATAACCTCTGATAGCTGATAGCTATAAATAAAATACAATGGATTTTTAATATGTTTTTAATAATGGACAACAAAATGTTTGTACACTCCTTTAATATTGGCGCTTTTTTACTTTTGTAAGTCAAAATTTCCCAAAACATACCAATAAAAGTATAATTTCAGTTGTTTTTTTAAATGTAAATAAAAGGTTTATTACAGTTCATAACTCTAAAATTAACAAAGCAATTTTTAAAGAAAAACATTTTTAAATTTGGCACTCTTTTGTTTGATGCTAGAGTTGGTAGTTTATGCAACTGCTATTGTGAAATCCCCTAGTATTTTTAAAATATTGTTTGCAAGTTGCAAGTTGATGTTTATCTCTGGGCGCCTATTCTTGAAAATCATACGATCCGGTGTTTCTCTCATACGATGGGATCTATCCCGTGCGATCTATCGACTCCCACGGTCGAAATCGACCAATTCTTGAATCCACGAGTGAACGTTCAAAATTATTGCGCTGTTGCCAGCATTATTTGATACAGATGAACTACTGTTTAGGGATTTTTAACCTTTTTTTTTGTACGGTTGTCATTCATGATTTTTTGATATTTTGTTTTATAAATTATATTCGATTATAATAAAAAGCTAGTCTGTGTAATACTAAATAAATAAATTATTTTTCAATTGGAATAAAAATGCCTAAGTCACTTTCTACCCCTTCCAAAAGGAGTGCCCCCACAAACGGCATTCAGAAAAATATGTTAATAGAATATATGGAACAAAACCCCAAATTAAGAGCCGGTACCTTTAGTCCTGATTTTACTTTCAAAAATGCCCAAACACTCTGGGAAATAATTACTATAAAATTAAACGCCGTACCAGGAGGTGCAAAAAAAGACGATTGGCGAATGTGGAGAAAGGTAGGCTTTTAAATTAACTCTGCGTTCATTTACATTATTTGATATTTTCAGACATGGGCTGATATGAAAAAAAATGCTACAAGCAAAGCCGTACGCCTCAAAAAAGAATCACAAAAAACTGGCGGGGGAACTCCTCCCAGGATTGATTTAAAAGAAGATGATATAATGATTCTAGATATGATAAACACAAAAAAAATTGAGGGCATACCAGAAATCCCAGAAAATTAAGTTGTCTTTCAATTTACAGAAGACGCAACAGAACTTAATCAATTTGATGTAAACATTGAAAATGTTCATGAACCACAGCCTTCTTTGGTAAGTTTATTAATTTAGGTATACCCAAACATTTCTACCATGCAAAGCAGAAACCTAGTAGTTAAACTTGAAGAATTGCATAACATCCATATAACAATCCTAGAAAAATAAGTCTCTTAATTATGACTTAAGATATACAGGATTAAACAAAATTATTGGTAATTTTGTTTTTAGATTGAAATAATTGAGGAAAAAGCTCAGAAATCCCCCACTTTACTAGGCCCTGATGCTGAGGTTGTTGCTGATGATCACAAATTTTACTCCATACCTGCCCCTGGGGGTAAAACCAAACGGCAAAGGTTCCAAACATCTTTAGAGCTATCCAAACAAATGGTAAATCAAGTAGAATACCAAAATAATTTCACAAATGAATATTATATTAAGAAAATGGAGTACCTAGAACACAAAATTAAGCATGAAGATAAAATGCTGGAAGTAGCTAAAGAAAATTTGGAAATATCTAAAGAAAATCTCAAGATTATGAAGGAGAATCTCAGGGTCAACTCTTCAATTTTAAATATTCTGGCAAAAAAATGATTTTTGTATGTATAAAAGCATTTATTTCTTTTCCACATGAACCTTAAGGTTCCTTTTCCTAAAATATCTAGTTAAGTTTGACTGTTATTCTTGAATGAATTATTTTGTTTGTTTTGATACATATTTTATGGGAATAAAATTTATTTTTGTTTATTTTTATTTATTTTTATATTTAATATAACTATACAGGGTGAATTCAGAGATGCACCTATGCTATGGGGTGGTAGTTTATATATATATATATATATATATATATATATATATTGATGAAATGTACCAAGTCACTTCCGAAATAGGTACGTAACATTCGTTGTGACTTCCAAAATTGGAAGTGGGAACGTATATATGGAAGTGACAACGTTTCGCCTTGTTGTCAGCATATTTAGCCACTAGAGGGCACAAGGAGCTCAAATCCGAAAAAACGGGTGGAAGTGACTACGTAGCTTTCGTACCTTTTCAGTTTGGCACTTAGTTCAGGTATATGCCGCTGGCGCCACCATCGATATATGCATTTCATATATAGCGACGGTGTCACTTCCGTAGCATAGGCACGACTATGTCACTTCCGAAATGTGGCAACATGGCAAAGTGCACGAAAGAATTAAGGATACAAGCAGAGACTTTGATATAAGTTACGCTTTGTTCATTGCGTTAAAAAACGCAAAGCGCAAACCTGCGAAATTGTTTTGAAAACGCCACACTATGTTTTATCGGCGGAAAAAATACATTTTTATAAACCATTTTATTATGGGTATTTTTATGACGATAATTTGTTAAAAACATTTTAAAGCAATAAATTTGGGTAAAGAATTATTTTTAAATAATTATGTTTTTATTACCTTAAAGTAAAATGTTTTTAAAACAGTTAAACTATATCTTTTAATCGAACAAAATATATCTTTTTTAAATAAGTTTAAAGTAGACCTTAATCTACATATATAAAAATTCGTGTTTAAAAATTAAAATTAAAAGTTTAAATGTTTTAAAGATACATTAGTAAAATTAGTAGAAAAAAATTCATATAGGCTTTTAAATACGATTGCCTCTGATTTTCACGTTGATAAAGTTGTTCAGTAAACTTTACGTTATAAGTACACAAAAAATTAGCTGCATATACGCACATATGGAAAAGTTATGAATTTTTATTTATCGCGCTGCATGGCTAAATCGCGAGCGCTCGTATATACATAAGTAAGGCATTGTCTACCCACTCAAGATTTTCGTACAGATCTATGCTCATAAGTTTTAGTTGAATTTATTAATTGTTATAAATATTTTAACATGTATTAAATTTTTTATAGGATTAATAATTAATAACCTATTCATAACAAATTATGAATTAAATAATAGATAATCCTTTGCTTTGTAGGTTATCTTAATTTTATAAATTAATTAATAATCCCTTGTTTTGCATCTTTTTGAGGAAACTCAAGAATCTAGACATAAGGATTTTAAAAAATTGTTATATAATATATTATGTTTTCGAGAAAAATTAATTTTATAAATTAATTAATAATCCCTTGTTTTGCATCTTTTTGAGGAAACTCAAGAATCTAGACATAAGGATTTTAAAAAATTGTTATATAATATATTATGTTTTCGAGAAAAACAAATCGAAAATCAACAAACGAAAATATATTTCATCGTCTTTTAATATCGTCTGACCCCCTAATAACGTTACTAAGAACGGCTACTTAGGAGAAATACAAAATTTATAAAATATGAGGAATTATTATAGGAAAAAATTTTAAAATTTAAATTATGTTTATTTATTTCTTAAAGTGTGCTGAGTATGTGTATAATATGTATTTATTTACAATAAAAAAGTTATTGAATTATTTTCGCCATCATTTCACCGCGAACATTTAAAAAAGGCATTTAAAAAATAAAGACCTTTATTTTTTAATTAAAGTATAGTTAATTATGCCTATTTAAGTCTTATTTAACACAGTTAAAAATAGAAAAATAAATATTTCATGCAATAAAAAAGTTTGATTTTTTCCTTAATTGATGCTTTAATTAGGACCACCTAAAACGCATTTAAAAATTAAAATTCGTTATATTTTTCAATTAAAATAAAGTTAATTATACCTAATAAGTCTTATTTAACAAATAAAAAAATAAATATTTTTTTGCAATAAAAAAATTATGGGGTTATTAAAATATATATTTATTTATTATTTATTATTATTATACATTATAATGCAGTAAAAAAGAAAAAAAATGGATATTTATTTGTTATAAAAAAAGTTTGTGAATTATTTCTATAAAACAGTGCTTTTTGATAATCTAAAAACGCATTTAAAAAATAAAAACCTTTAAAATTAAAATATGGTTTATTATAAGTAATAACTCATTTAACACATTATAAATAAAAAATTAATATTTACAAAAAAAAATACAAAACAGTGCTTTTTGACGTGCGTTGCAGCACAAAAACAGAACAGTAAATTAAAGTTGTCTTAAAAAGTGTGTAAATTCAAAAAATGCAAAAATATACTAAAAATAAGAATTTTAGTGTCGTTCCAGGAAAAACCGAATACCCTGTATAAATAAAAACATAATATAAAAAAAATTACTGCATCAAGTTAAAGGGGCCGACATTATAGGGGATCACCCTGCAGATACTAAAATTTTTACAAATATATTTGCAAAGTATATATGTCTTAAAAAGTGTGTAAATTCAAAAAATGCAAAAAAATACTGAAAATAAGAAATTTAGTGTCTTTCCAGGAAAAACCGAATACCCTGTATAAATAAAAACATAATATAAAAAAAAATACTGCATCAAGTTAAAGGGGGCGACATTATAGGGGATCACCCTGCAGATACTAATTTTTTTACAAATATATTTGCAAAGTACATATGTCTTAAAAAGTGTGTAAACTCATAAATGCAAAAAATACTGAAAATAAGAAATTTAGTGTCGTTCCAGGAAAAACCGAATACCCTGTATAAATAAAAACATAATATAAAAAAAATACTGCATCAAGTTAAAGGGGGCGACATTATAGGGGATCACCCTGCAGATACTAAAATTTTTACAAATATATTTGCAAAGTATATATATCTTAAAAAGTGTGTAAATTCAAAAAATGCAAAAAAATACTGAAAATAAGAAATTTAGTGTCGTTCCAGGAAAAACCGAATACCCTGTACTTAAAAAATTTCTTTTTTTTATACGTAGGAGAAAAGTATTTTTTACTCCCTACATAACCACGCTTTTAAATTTTTTGGGACACAAGTTGAAGGGGAGCGACATTATAGGGGATCACCCTGTACATACCATTTCTTTGAGTAAATTAAAGATTAAATATTTTTTTTCAAATGTAGACAGTTGCCAACAGGTAAAAATAGCCAAGTAAAATTATTATTTTTTATCATAACAGCTATTATTTTTTTCATTTTAAAGTACAAGTTGGTAGGTAATATTAATAAAATTGTTTTATACTGCTAGGTTTAAGATAGGATCTATCGTCCCAATTATCACATAAGGCCGTATCTCAAATTTAACAATTTTACAAAGCATTTTAAAGATTAAAAGTTTTTAGCTAATTTAAATAAAGTATATTTAAAAAAAAAATGTCCCACTAGGTATTACATTAAATGTAATACATATTAGCACATTTTTTTATTTGGAAAAATACGGTAGTGGATAGAACTTGCATAACTAAGAAGAAAAGTTAATATGAATTTATATGCTTTAAAATTTTTGTTTTAAACATTTAAAAAAATTTATCAACCGACGAAAAATATTTATTTAAAAAAGTGTCGGACTCGATAATTATTTCTTATAAGATCTACAAACTTTATTATGTTGTCCACTTTGATAAACACCCTTATTAATTCTATAAAAATATTAATTTTAACATTTTTATGACGAGAGAAAAAATTATATTAAAAAATACGTATGTAAGTAGGTACTATTTTTTTAAATTCGTAAATTTTGACATTTTATTTTTTAGTACCTTTTGTAGATTTATTACAGTTTATACATTTAGCCACAGCGCAATTTGAGATTATAACCCAACACATAAAATAACAAAAACAAAATAAAAATATTAAATTTGGATGTCTTACACTTAAAATAATAATTATTATAATTTTAATTTGGAAATAATATAATAATAATACACGCAATATTCTCTCCACTCAAAAAATATTAAATTATTATTATTATTATTAAAACATTACCAAACATAATTTAACATAATAATATTATTAAACAATGCAAGTTTAATAACTAGTTTCGAACGTCGAATGTGCCGTACTTATGCTTTTAAGCGTTTCGAATTAAAAAAGGTCCGCATGAGCAACGGAGAGAGATAACTAGACTAAATCTATTTTTAGACTCGAAAATCTGGCAACCCTGTCGGAAGTGTCTACGATGCAATTGTCTCTATATATGATGGAAGTGACTAAGTCACGGCCATAGTACACAAATATTTATTTGCGAAATCCTTTCCCCTCTCTAGAGATTCGGATTACGTAGGTTCCCCTTCACTTATATATAGTTTTAAAATGCTTGTATAAGCCTTCGTTCATGTGGAAGTTAGGACACCCTGTTTATACTACGGAAGTGACAACTTAACAGGCATCGATATATATATATATATATATATATATATATATATATATATATAGATAAGTGGTCAGCTGTGACCTCCGTTAAGTTGAGAGGGCCACCTCTCCTCCGGGTCTGCGGAATGGACGATTTTTATTTTGATTGCATATATTGCGGGGGGGAGCCTTAAATATTAACGCCACCACAAGAGGGGAAGCAATTTTTAATTTTTTAAAATGTCAATTTTTTTACGCAAACTGGAGATACTCAAGATACAAAGTCACCTCCGAATATATATATAATTTCGGAGAAACAAACAGCCTTGTATCCTCCGACAGTGTTGCCGGATTTTCGGAGGTCGCAACGTATCTGGGATATATATCAGATTTATTTTGTCCACTGCTTCGTGCTATATGTGCCATACATTATTTAGTAA